GCTGTCACACACCTTATTAACACACTCACTGTTACACACCCACAGTATAACACAGTCGCTGTTACACATCTTATTAACACACTCGTTGTCACACACCTACAATCTAACATACTCACTGTTACACACCTACAATATAAAACACTCACTGTTACACACCTACAATATAACACACTCGCTGTTACACACCTATTATTAACACACTCACTGTTACACACCTACATTCTCACACTTGCTGTTACACACCTACAATATAACACACTCGCTGTTATACACCTACATTCTCACACTCACTGTTACACACCTACAATATAACACACTCGCTCTTGCCTTATTAACACATCGCTGTTACACACCTACATTCTCACACTCACTGTTGCCCAACTACAATATAACACACTCGCTGTTGCACACCTACATTCTCACACTCACTGTTGCACACCGACAATATAACACTCGCTGTTACACACCTACATTATAACACACTCGTTGTTACACACCTATTAACACACTCACTGTTACACACATACATTATAACACACTCGCTGTCACACACCTTATTAACACACTCACTGTTAACACCTTATTAACACACTCACTATTACACACATACATTATAACACACTCGCTGTCACACACCTTATCAACACACTCACTGTTACACACTACTCTACACACATTACACATCTACACTATAACACACCTCTGCTACACACCTACAATATAACACACTCAGTGTTACACACCTACATTATAACACACCCAGTTATACATCTACAATATAACACACTCGCTGTTACACACCTACACACCTACAATATAACACACTCGCTGTTACACACCTACAATATAACACACTCGCTGTTACACACCTACAATATAACAAACTCGCTGTTGCCTTATTAACACATCGCTGTTACACACCTACATTATCACACTCACTGTTGCCCAACTACAATATAACACACTCGCTGTTACACACCTACAATCTAACACACTCTCTGTCACACTCCTTATCAACACACTCACTGATACACACATACATTATAACACACTCTCTGTCACACACCTTATTAACACACTCACTGTTAAACAAATACATTATAACACACTCGCTGTTACACACCTACAATATAACACACTCGCTCTTACACACCTTATTAACACACTCGCTGTTACACACCTACATTCTCACACTCGCTGTTGCACACTTGCTGTTACACACCTACATTCTCAATCACTGTTGCACACCTACAATATAACACACTCACTGTTCCACACCTACAATATAACACACTCACTGTTCCACACCTACAATATAACACACTCACTGTTCCACACCTACAATATAACACACTCGCTGTTATACACCTACATTATCACACTCACTGTTACACACCTACAATATAACACACTCGCTGTTATACACCTACATTCTCACACTCACTGTTACACACCTACAATATAACACACTCACTGTTCCACACCTACAATATAATACACCTACATTCTCACACTCACTGTTACACACCTACAATATAACAAACTCACTGTTGCCTTATTAACACATCGCTGTTACACACCTACATTCTCACACTCACTGTTGCACACTTGCTGTTACACACCTACATTCTCAATCACTGTTGCACACCTACAATATAACACACTCGCTGTTGCACACCTACAATATAACACACTCGCTGTTACACACGTACAATATAACACATTCACTGTTAAACACCTACATAACACACTCTCTGTTACACCTACATTCTCACACTCACTGTTGCACACCTACAATA